CATGCTTCCGCCATCTCTGCTATCCCCCAACCCAGCTGCTTATGCCTTTTCTTGAGGCCAGCAAATCCAGACCTGGCTGCACACTAGGACCCGGTGGGTATACAGTACTGATCCCCACACCCACCCAGATCAATACCCAGCCTCTCAGGGTTGGGCCTGGATGCATATGGTGATTTCAGGGCAGACATGGTTGAGAACCACTGCTCTGGCCCATGTGCCAAGCACTGAAGGAGGAGGGGTGGGAAAGAAGATGTAAAGCCCACCTCACACCTGCTCACCATCTCCTGATTCTGGTCCCTCTGCCTGGTCCCTCTGCCTGGACATTCTACTCCACTCCCACTGGCATTCTTGTCCTGGTAAACTCCATTCATCCTTCAGGCTCAGCTCCAACTCACCTCCTCCGTGAAGCCCTCCTTCCTGGCATTCCCACAGGCGGTTTATCAGCTCCCATTACACCATGGATTACATTGTGTTGTTCCTGGCAGATCCTGGTGAGCTGAGAGGTTCTCAGAGCCTCTATCAGAATCACCGGTGTTTGCATTGGGTCTGGTACATTTTAAGCACTCAATAAACTATTGCCATTATTATTTAGATGATATGCAGGTCCCACCTCAGTACATTTGTTATGCACAGGACTAGATTATTCTTCCCCCAGATTTCTGCAAAGCTCTCTCAATCTCCTTCAGGTCTTTGCTAAAATGAGACCTTCTCAATGAGGCTTTGTTAATCATCCTATTTTAAATTGCAACCACTCGACCTCCAACCTCTGCCCTTCTCTAATTAAATTTTCTCCAGAGTATTTGACAACATCTCACTGGTGGATCCTGTCTTCATATAAAATTTTGATAAGCTGTTCACCATGGACTTTTTGCATTAGTTTTTAAATTAATTGCATTAAAATACCACTTCTCTTGATTACTGTTTTTTGGCCTTCCCTTAAGTTTCACTGTATTTGCTTATCAATTAGAATGTGATCTACACTGAATACATGTTTGAAAATTGTTCCAGTATGGTCTACCATGAAGAGTTGTGTGCAGTGGGAACGCAGAAAAGGAAGCGACTTTCTCTATTTGGAAGAGTTAGAGAAGCAAATTTTGTTTTTGTTCACTATTCCCAGTTTCTACAACAGTCGCTGGTACATGGTAGCTGCTCAAAAATATTTTCTGCGTGCCCTAGCTGGTTTGCTCAGTGGATAGAGCTTTGGCCTGCAGACTGAAGGGTCCCAGGTTTGACTCCAGTCAAGGGCACCTGCCTGGGTTGCTGCTGGATTCCCAGTAGGGGGCGTGCAGGAGGCAGCTGATAAATGATTCTCATTATTGATGTTTCTATCTTTCCTTCCCCCTTCCTCTCTGAAGTCAATACAAAAATATAGTTTAAAAAATACTTTATGAGTGAAAGTTTGACTTAGTGTCTTAAAGACTGCCTTTTCCCAATTGTTTAAAAAAATGAAAATTCTTTAAATGCAAAGCGTGTAAAATAATAAGGTAGATTTGAAACAACCTGGTCCATTGTATATGGATTACATGTACAATGTTACACTTTGCCCGCAGTTACACTTTTGCCAGTGGTTCTCCCAGTTTGAGAATGGGGCGAGTCCTGGCAGGGGAGGAAACACCAGATTCAAAACCTGGAAGAAGAAGAAGAAGAAGAAAAAAAAGAAAAAAGTCTTTGACCATAGAGTTACACCTCCTTACATCCTAGAGAAACTTCCGGGATGGCGATGTCTCCTTAGCCGAGCTTCCGGAAAGCCATTCACTTGTCTACAAAGTGGGTGGGGCTAATCCCATGAGCTCGCCTTGTGATTGGTTAGAAAGGAGGGAGGCAGGGCTAGGGAGGACACTTCCCCTCACCATTACCACCACCACCACCACCTCCAACCCGCTCCAGCCCGCTCCTGGCTCACGTGGGCTGGTCCGGCGCGGCGGTCTTGAGGACGCAATTGGCTGGACCTGCAATTGGTGAGCTTGGGTGACAGCGAGGACCGAGGAGCCCGCGGGAGGCGGCCGAGTGAGGAGAGGGCTCTGGGCGCGGACACCTAGGATCCTGGTGTCCGCTTTCCCTTGTGCATCCCGCCTTTAATACTTGTTTCCTGGTCTCAATTTCCTCCGTGGAAAATTGAGGTCAGGATTTACTCCCTTGTCTGCCTCAGGTTGTTGTAACTGTCATGGTGTCTCTACCCTGTATCCCCGAAAATAAGACAGTGTCTTATATTAATGTTTTCTCCCAAAGTTGCGCTAGGTCTTATTTTCAGGGGATGTCTTATCTTTCCATGTGCTAGGTCTTATTTTCGGGGAAACACGGTAGATATGCCAGCCATGGAAAGACCCTCAGGGGTCACCTGGTGACTGAGCCAATCTTCCCGTTTTATATCTGGGTACACTGCGGCCTGGAAAGTGGAGTCATTTGACCCAATCACCAGCCAGCCTGGGCTGAGCCAGTTCTTAGAATGAGGGTTCCATGGCTGTTTTAGGCAGCACGGCCCGTGATGGAGACTTCGTGGGAACTGGACGCAGGGACTTAGCCTCCAGATGTGGCCCTGTGCTCGTCTGCCAGGTTGCTTGACACAGTGGCTTCACATCTCTGAGCCTCCCTCTCTGTGAATTGGACATAATGATAATAGCAAACACTTTATGCACTTATTATGTACCAAGCACTGTTATACCCACTTCATGCATAACTTCCCTGCTTGGATTGCAAGGCTATTGTGAGTCAAAGGACCTTTAAAAAGGCATGTGCTGGACAGAGTAGGTGCTCTATGAAAATGTATGGGATGATCGAAAGACTCAGCCTCTTTACCAGAGTCTGGGGTGCAAGAAACACTGTATTGCCTGTGGAAAAAATTGAGATATAATTATTCTGTTGGTGTAAACTGAGGGGTTTGGGGACAGAGGGCTTAAGGCTCTTTTTTTTTTTTTTTAAATATATTTTATTGATTTTTTACAGAGAGGAAGGGAAAGATAGAGCTAGGATCGTCGATGAGAGAGACATCGACCAGCCGCCTCTTGCACACCCCCTACATCCCCTGTAGGGGGGGATGTACATGCCCTTGACCGGAATCGAACCTGGGACCCTTCAGTCCGCAGACCGACGCGCTACCACTGAGCCAAACCAGTTTTGGCAAATAGCACCCCTTCACTTTGATCTTTTACTAATGCATTTGATAAAAAAAAAAAAAAAAAAAACCCACAAAAAAACATTATGAACTCGTGGTTTAATGGAGGAATAGAGCATGAAATATCCCAATGCCTAGCACACAGCATTTTTTCAAAACCATGTTTGAAAATTGTTCCAATGTGGTCCATTATGAAGAGCTGTGTGTGGTGGGAGCACAGAGGAGAAACTATGTCTATTTGGAAGGGTTGGAGAAGGCTTCTTGGAATAAGTGCATCTTGATGAATTGGAGTTGCTGCGGTAAAGTTGGCCTATTCTTGGAATGATGAGCAATTTGGGGCATGTTAGGGGAGTGATAGGGTAAGAAGCTGGAAGAGATGCGTTGGGATCAAAATATGAAGAGGCTTTGGCACCATTCTGAGAACATTATGATGGGGGGAAATAATAGATTATAAACAGGAGAGATTGAATCAGTATATCTGAAATATCGAGACTGGACAGATAGGAATCAAGAATCGTTCAGTTCACTCATTGATAGACATTTATTGAATGTCCGCTGTATCCTGGCACCATGCTGGCTGTTGCAATATCACTTGGGACAAATGGACATGGTTATTGCCCAGTTGGAGTTCACAGCCTAAGTCAGAGTGGGTGAACAGTTAGGCTTCTGCAGTTCTCCCAGTGTGGCCCCAGACCAGCAGCATCAGCACCACCTGGGAACTTGCTAGAAATACAGGTTTTCTGCCTAACCCCCAGACCTACGAAATCAGAAATTGTGTGTGTGTGAGGCCTTACTGTCAGCGTTTTAACAAGCCCTCCAGGTGATTCTGATGCTCACTAAAGTTTCAGAACCGCTGGTCTATTGCAATGTATTATAACAAGTGGTAGGTATTGAGGGACTAACTCAAGGCTGAGGCAGAAAGGGTCAGAAAGGAGAGGGTGGACTGGAGAGAAATCTTGCTTTAGGAGGAGCCAAGAGCGAAGGCATTTCTGGCCTGGGCCACTGGCCTGAGGTGGAATCTCAAATGATGGAGTCAGGTGTGAACCACACGCTTCCTGCCTTCAGGATCCACACTTCTCCATGCGGCCACATTAGGACGCTGTAGCAGCGCCTCCCAACCTTTTTCAGGCCATAGGCCACATAGAAAACGAGAGTATCTGTCAGATGCGCAGAGGAAATGGATGAAGCTGCCTGAGGTTGGAGGGGCCGGCGGGAGGCAACCACGTGAGAATTCCAGCTTCCCAGTGCTTAGAGGGATCAGGAGAGCTTTGCTCCAGGGCTGAAAATCAGAGGTGCTCACTACATTTGACAATAGAAATCAAGAACCTTGGAAGTTTATACCCCTTGACTCAGTAATTTCATTCATTCCTGAAAATTCTCTTCCAAATATATTACAAAATAAAACCTTTTGTTTATTATAGATTGTGTATAAAGGAGAAAACCAACAACTTGCTGGTAGTAGGAGAATCATTCTTAATAGAATCAATGGATGAAATGTGGAACTCTCATTAGAAGTATGTCAATATTTGGTAAAATCATAGAGAAACCTACACAGGGCATCGTCAGCGGGAAGCCCTCTGGAATCCAGGCTGCCTGGTGTCAGAGCCTGTGCGTTTGCCACCTGTGCCTGTTCTCTTCACAGTACGCCACTGTATTTTTGTAAGTGGGAAAACATGTATACTTTTTCCATGGCAGTAGAGGGAAGAGAAGTATACTTGGATCTGCTAGGGTATTCAAAATGAAAGGATTTTATCTGCAGAATCAGTGGCTATCTTAGAGGTCTGTTGGAGGAGACCAAACTGAGCTGGCTACTTCATAATCAGTTAACACTTATTTCTGCACCGCTCATTTTTCTCCAGGCACAAGTGCTTCCCTGTGCTGGGGTGTCATGGAAGGGCTGCTGACAAGATGCAGAGCCATGCCCACTCTGGCCACCTGCCACCACCAGCTCTCTGGGTACATTCCCCGCAGGTTTCCCCACTGTGCCCCAGGGAGAGGGAAGCGCTTGGTGCTGTCCCGCATGTTCCAGCCCCAGAACCTTCGGGAAGACCAGGTGCTCCCACTGGATGGCAGATCTGGTGACCTGACCTGTAAGAGCCAGCGGCTGATGCTGCAGGTGGGCCTGATCCACCCAGCAAGCTCCGGCTGTTACCACCTCCTGCCTTATACTGTTCGTGCCATGGAGAAGCTGGTGCGGGTGATAGACCAGGAGATGCAGGCCATTGGCGGGCAGAAGGTCAATATGCCCAGCCTCAGCCCAGCAGAGCTCTGGCAAGCCTCCAACCGGTGGGACTTGATGGGCAAGGAGCTGCTACGACTTAGAGACAGACACGGCAAGGAATACTGCCTAGGACCAACTCACGAGGAAGCCATCACAGCCCTGGTTGCCTCCCAGAAGACACTGTCCTACAAGCAGCTCCCATTCCTGCTGTACCAGGTGACAAGGAAGTTTCGGGACGAGCCCAGACCCCGCTTTGGTCTTCTCCGTGGCCGAGAGTTTTACATGAAGGACATGTACACCTTCGACTCCTCCCCAGAGGCCGCCCGGCAGACCTACAGCCTGGTATGTGATGCCTACAGCAGCCTGTTTGACAGGCTGGGGCTGCAGTGTGTCAAGGTGCAGGCAGACGTGGGCAGCATCGGGGGCACGATGTCTCACGAGTTTCAGCTTCCAGGGGAGATCGGAGAGGACCGGTTTGCTGTCTGTACCAGCTGCAGCTTCTCGGCCAACGTGGAGACGCTAGACTCGTCTCAGATGAACTGCCCTGCTTGCCAGGGACCACTGACTGAAACCAAAGGCATTGAGGTGGGGCACACGTTTTACCTGGGCACCAAGTACTCCTCCATTTTCAATGCCCAGTTTATTAACGTCCATGGCAAACCCTCCCTGGCTGAAATGGGGTGCTATGGCTTAGGTGTGACCCGGATTCTGGCTGCTGCCATTGAGGCTCTCTCTACCGAAGACTGCATTCGCTGGCCCAGCCTCCTGGCTCCTTACCAAGTCTGCCTCATCCCCCCGAAGAAGGGCAGTAAGGAAGAGGCGGCTGCAGAGCTCACGGGGCAGCTGTATGACCACGTCTCAGAGGCAGTGCCGCAGCTTCGCGGGGAGATCCTGCTGGACGACAGGACCCACCTGACCATTGGGAACAGACTGAAGGATGCCAACAAATTTGGCTACCCCTTCGTGATCATCGCCGGCAAGAGGGCCTTGGAGGACCCTGCCCATTTTGAGGTTTGGTGCCAGAACGCCAGTGAAGTGGTCTTTCTCACCAAAGAAGCAGTCATAGAATTACTGAGCCACGTGCAGGTTGTCTAAATGCCCCAGCCACACCCTCCTCATGTCACGCCTTGGAGTTCATTCTTTATATATATATTATTGATTTTTTTTACAGAGAGGAAGAGAGGGATAGAGAGTTAGAAACATCCATGAGAGAGAATCATCCATCAGCTGCCTCTTGCAAACCCCGTACTGGGGATGTGCCCGCAACCAAGGTACGTGCCCTTGACCGGAATCGAACCCGAGACCTTTCAGTCCGCAGGCCGCCGCTCTATCCACTGAGCCAAACCGGTTTTGGCACCTTGGAGTTCATTCTAAAGCTGCTGCCTTTCCTGCACTCCTTTCTGGGGCTGGTCTCTCAGAAACCGGGCAGCTCGTGGACGAAGAGCACACGTTAGGGAAACCAATTTTTATCCTGTCATTTATTGGTACTATTCGTATTTAAAATCATTAACTTGGTCCCTTTCTCTGTACTGGCCATGGTGCCACATACCATTCCTTTGATATCTTCTGTTAGGAGGCAGGGAGGCAAGAAAGAGCAGACTTCCTGTCCTGGCCCTGGGGCGAGTCACTTCCTTTCTCTCAGCTGTTCCCTATGTGTAGGGTGGGGGTGGCTGATGGCCAAGGCCCTCCCGGCTCCATTGTCTGACCACAGGCCGCTTGCTGCATACAGTTGGAGAGCAGCTGTCTGTCACTGGCTGGTTCCACGTGAGGTTCATGACAGACAGATCTGGTTGCTCTGATCCCCTTTAGTCTACCTTACACAGGAAGTTGATATAATCAGCTAATGGCCCCAGTAGATCTACTCTATTGAGGTGGCTCTGCACGGAGATCATGTTGTGACAACTGAATAAAGTCAAACTGTTGGGATGAGCCGCACATGCTCATTTGAAACAATGGTGACATCTGCCATCTTAATAGGATGCGGTACCTTGTCTTGAGAGTCTTTCCCTTCTTTTTCTACCATGTCTACATTCCATTCAAAAAAAAAAAAAAAAAAAAAAAGGTGGTGGTGGGGTGTCCTGGGAAAGTCTGTTTTAAACTTTTCCTTTCACAAATAAAGGAGAGCAGGCTTTGAGTGCCATTATGACCTTAACCTCAGTGCAGAGTTAGATCCTAGAGCCATGACAGGGATGAACACTAAGGTCTCTGCGTGAATTGTGTGGAGAACTAGGAGCAGACTTAGCCGCTACCGCGGAGCCACCTGCTCTCATTGCTCTGCTCACCAGATTAGGGTCTCTATAAGTCCAAATCAATCAAGAATCTGACAAGGACAAGCTCACAGCCGCCACCTCCTGAAAGCATACCTGACAACATCTGGAAGTGGTTTTCCCTCCAGCTCCCTAGCACTCTCCTGCTCAGCCCTTGTTGTTTGGGGCCACAAAACTCCTTGTTTGATGGGCTAGCCTCCTATAGCTGATGGTCAGCTCCCTGAGACTAGGGTCCTAGACTCTCCATTCCAATAATCACAGGCTGTTGTTGTTCCTTGTGATTAAGCCCTTATCCCAGTGGCCGGCAAACTCTTTAGTTAACAGAGCAGCAAACCGCAGCTCTTGAGCTGCATGTGGCTCTCGAGCCACAGTTTGCCGACCACTGTCCTAGGCGGATTCCAAGTGCACTGCAGTTCTTGTCTTGGCCAGCTGTTCCATCTGTCCTACAACTTCCAAGCAACTTGTTACTGCAAGAGTAACCCACCTTAAGCACACCATCAGGTTCCTCAGTAAAGCCTATGCCAAGCCCTGATGGCTCCCAGGCCTACCACGGAGCTCAGGCCCAGCATGTAGGTCAGGAGATGCGGGTTCTGACAGCAAACCTAGAAAGGCTGGACTGTGAGACACTGGAGTTTACCCTTGGCTACACACTGGAATTACCACGTCCTCCTCAGAGGTCCTGCTATGGGGCAGGGTGTGGCCAGGTGTCAGGAATTAAAAAGCCCCTGGATGGTTCTAATGTACAAAGTCCATTGAGAGCTCCTGGTATGCGGGGAGCTGCCTTCTCTGAGCCCACTTTGAAGTTGAGCATTTCTTTGAATCATTTCGGTTGTACATTATCAGACTAATGGGAGCTCACTGCTTTAAATGTTCTGGTTTTTATTTGTTGGGGGGATTTCCATGTGCCATTATGCTGTGAGGCCTTTTATACACTGTTTTCAGTCTTTGAAACTGTGCAGGGGAGGTGCTGTTACTCCCAATTTACCAAGGAGTGAACCTGAAATTTAAGCAACTTACTCAAGGATGCACAGCTCTTAAATATCAGAGCTAGAATCCAAATATTAATAAAAACCTATGCCCCTCAACAATACCACTTGGCCTCTGCCTGTGCAAAAGTGATTTCAGTAAAAAAAGCTGAATTATTTATATCTAATCAAGTTAGCCTAAATAAATGAGAAATTAGAATTCGTGCAAATAGATGCATATATATTTAAATTTGTACTCTATAACGAAGGCTAGCCAAATGTAAGCACTTTTTATTTTTTTATAATATATATTTTATTGATTTTTCACAGAGAGGAAGAGAGAGGGATAGAGAGTTAGAAACATCGATGAAAGAGAAACATCAATCAGCTGCCTCTTGCACACCCCCTACTAGGGATGTGCCCGCAACCAAAGTACATGCCCTTGACCGGAATCGAACCCGGGACCTTTCAGTCCGCAGACCGACGCTCTATTCCCTGAGCCAAACCGGTCCCAGCTGAAAGCACTTTTTAAAACCAATTGATTTTAAACTCTCATTAAGTGTATGAGTTATAGGATGATTTGAGGATGATATAGAATTCAGGAAGTCTAGAGTGGGAGGAGCACTTGGGACCTGCCTGTTGAACCTAACAGATGGGAACAGGCCCAAAGTGGGATTCACCTGCCACATACCATCTGACTGGCAAAGGCCTGATTGCAGGCCAGGTGCTACATCCCCTAAATTAGGCTACACCCCGTTGATCTTTTGTATTACGAGAGGTCTGGTTGGATCAACCTTTGAGCTACAGAAGCCTTGTAGATATGAAGTAGGTATCTGTCTTCTGCTTTCTAGTAACTGGGAGTGCAGTGATTTGCCAAGGTCAAGTTGGAAACCTAGGTGTCTTGATTCCTAAGCCAGTGTTCCTTGCAGTAGCAAGGAGCAGTATAATTTGTTGAAAGTTCCAAAGAGATATAATCCTAGATCCACCTCTAGCACCTTAGACAAATTACTTGCCTTTAGCGTGTCTCAAAATTCTTCATCTGAAAGATGCCCTCATGATAATGGTACCTACCTCCCCATGTTGTCTGGCTGAGCTTATGAAATGCTTAACCCTTACTGTGCTCTCAGGAAACACTTCCCTCACACCAGATGACTTAGGAAATACCCCAATGGGGACTCAAGTGCTGCTGTTAACTTTATGGCCAGACCTGGATCTTGTTTCTTGATGAGATGCTTTACAAGCTTCCTGGGGAATGCCACCAGCCAGAACCAAGCAGCACCTGCGGAACTGTTCTCCTTAGAGAAGAGACTGAAATATTCAAATTGTGTACTTTTCTCCTCCCTGAAGTTGTCAGTGTTACCGCTTACCATAAATTGATGAAATGGAAATGCTGGCAAAATAACAGGTACCGGCTGTATTATCATTGCTCATTCCTTGGGGAGATCTAGAAGCAATTGGCTGGGAAATATTTAGCAGAATTAATACTTGGGGACAAAGGTTGATGCATAACAAAACCATCATGTAAATCAAGCTTAGGATGTAAATCAAGGGCTCCATTAATATTCTGTGTTATAATGGAAGAGACACCTGCTGGGCTTTCCATAAAGAGCTTTGCAGAAATCTGTTGAAATTATCATTTCCTTAACCACCTGAGTGCCAGACCTTCCATTTCTACACCAAGGCTCCAGAATGCTTTTTCAATGGGTTATTATGCATCCAAAGGTATGTAAAGTGTTTTTTGTTTTTTTTAATATATATATTTTTATATCAGAGAGGGAAGATAGAAACATCAATGGTAAGAATCATCGATTGGCTGCCTCCTGCACACCCCCTGACCAGGGCCATGTGGCCTGACTGGGAATCAAACCGTGATCTGGTTTGTAGGTTGGTGCTTAACCACTGAGCACGCCAGCTGTGCTTAAAGCTTTGTTTTAAAGTTAAATAAAGTTTTTATAATTATGGATAGTTTTCTATAATATGGAAAATATTTTTATGATGTTATTGTAAATCTAGGGAACATCTGAAGAAAATCAAGGTTCTTTACTTGACTTAAAATAATGGCTTATATCATAGTGTCCCATACTCAGTTCAGACTTCTGGGCCAATTGATAGCCACGTGACCTTGTGCAAGTATGACCTTCCTCATACTCCCAGCCTTTCTTGTCAGTAAAATGAAGACAACAGTGTCTGGCTAACAGCACGTGCTTAGTAAGTGGCAGCTGTCCTTGTTAGGCCAGTTAGCCCTTTGCATATGGTAGGTGGGTGGGTGGCGCATGTGGGCCGGCAGAAGGGGGTGGCACCTTTAGGCTTCCCACATTCAGACACCACTTTGGTGTCCACTCCTGTTAGGCCAGCAGCTCTCAAGGCTTCTGTAAGCTTCCATGGGTTGTTGCTGAGTGTCAGGCCTCTTGCACAAAGTGCAGAGTTCTTACAAAGAGAACCAAGCAGGAGCCTCTAGCTGAGAAGCAAGGGAGAATGGCTCAACATGGCCTCAGCCGGCTTAGGATGGAAGCTGAACAGCTTCCTGGCCACAAGCAGCCTAGTCTTTGTAAATAATCCACACCAAGTTGCCCTTCAAAGACAGGGAAGCACATGGCACAAAACCTCACATTAGCACATTTTAGGGATAGCAGCTGGTTTCTGTTTAATGATGTATTAGCTTTGCTGTAGTAACAAACCCCCAAATCTCGGTACCATTACCACAAGCATTTATTCCTCTTTCATTTTACAATCGGTGGCTGCAGGGCAGCTGCTGCAGCTCTGCGGCACTGTCTTACCATTCTGGTACCCAAGCTGAAGGAACAGCCCTAACCTGGGAAATAAGTTTTCATGGCAACCTTCACACCATGGCTCTTCAGGGGAGTACACTCCTCCCCGGGGGAGGGGTGGGCACTGCAAAAAGTCCCAGGGCTACATGTAAGGACATATAAAGCCCTCTAGGTACAACTTATGATAGTGAACATGCTGAAAGGTTTTCCAGTTTAAAAAGCACAAAATCCTAAAATGTGAAAAACTGGGGAAGAATTCAAGAGTTCACTGTCCAAGTGTATCATAGTTCTCCATCCTGTAGAGATCAGGAAAACTGGCAAACCTTTGAGGGGTTCCGGAGAATGCCAGATTGTTGGTGTTTACAGATGTAGAAACAGGACCCAGTTTTCCTGGCCCCATCTTACTCCAAAGTATCTTCATTATCCCACAGAGCAACCCTCCATGCTCATGAAATAACTGGAGGTCAGTCTCAGCTTTAGTGCCTTAAATTACAGACATGGTTTGTATATATGCAGTTTGAGGAATAGCTTCTCCAAAGGTTCAGAACCGGATCACTAGATCCTGAGTCAGTCCAGTTGAGTTCCATGGGTCAGTTACTGTGGTAACTGCAACACATGGTCCCTTCAGGGAGGGAGGCTGGTAGTTAGCACAGCTCAGAGTCCTTAAGGATGCCATGACCAAGGCACAAAGTTTTGTATCAAAAGAGGAGAATAAAGACTAGCTTAGGTCCATCACTTTGAACAGAGCGGCTGCAGCTCAAGGAAGTCAGCAGCTCTTCCCCACCCACAACATGAGGAAGGACGGTCTCCAAAGTGACAGAGAAAAGTGTTGGATTCTAGGACTATGTCCAGCTGATTCCAGTATGCTGTATTCCAGGCAGAGACGGATATGGGAGGAGATCCAGGTGGCCTGGCTCCGCAGCCTGGCTCAGTCACTTTACCTGGTGCACTTTTCTCCCCTGGAGATAATTTCTACAAAAAGGAGAGGATTCCACACAGACTAAAAATGCTGGTGTCAGGGTTTTTACAAAGTACCTGCAGTGAATACAATAAAAGAGAGGAGTGAATTGAATTGCAATCATAATCATCCAAGGGCCTTCCCAACAACATTCACGGTGAACCTTTGGATGTGAGTCAACATTACAATGAAAGTTTAGCATATTTACTTGTTGGGTTGTTTAAAAATCTGGCAAATTAGCATGATTCCACCCCCTTATAACCTAGCCAGAACCTCTGCTAGTCCTCTAGCATTGGTGTTGGTGGCTAAACATGACAGAAAAATTACAAGAACATCTTTCATTCAGTGAATACCCAGGTTAAGCCAGGCCACTGTGCTGAAAACAGAGATTAAAAAACAAACAAAAACCATTGTCCCTGCCCTCAAGCCCAGAGGGAGGGAGATAATCAATCCAGGACAGCAAGGAACAACTGTGGAAGCACTGGTGAGGTGTGTTTCCCTCTATGGAAAGAGGAATCAGGAAAGGTTTTTGGAAATGTCACGTCTGAGCCTGACTTTAATTTGGATAAGGGGCTGTGCTAGGGACGTAAAGCCAGGCAGTGTGGGTCACTAGAATGCTGTTGTTGGGCATAAAGCAAACAGTAGGGCAGGTAGGAGAAACAGGCAAGACCTTGGCCTCCCAGCTTGAGGGGTGTTAGCATTACCCACTGTGCTTGGATTTGGACAGAGGGGCCTATATCTTGGCTCCAGTCCAGGGACTGAAATTCCCAGAAACCTGTCCTGGGTGGCCTCCTGTCTATATCAGTCATTTACAAAGCAGTGACTTCCAACAGCATTTACATTTTCTGAGAAGCATCAAATTGGTCTTCTCCACAAATCAGTCTGTTTTCTGTTTAGCCCCCCCGCCCCCCCTTTCTTTAGGAGATAAGGGAGAGTAGAACTCAGGCCTTTAAAGAATCTAAGTAATTTTCTAACAATTAAGAAAAAAAACAGCTAAGAATTTGTCAATAAAATAGAAAGGAAATTTAGGGCCAGAAAAAATACTGCCAAGAGAAGTCACTAATTCACCTCCTGCTTGTCAACCCAAAACAGAAGCATAAAGAGCAGCTGGATATTTCCTATTGAGTCAGTCACATCAGCAATTCCCATCCAATCTGCCTCCTAAACCTCTCTCAAATCCATCCTCTATTTCAGGTCACACCATCAATAGTACACTTAAAATCTATAAATCACTTGCCTGGCCAGCGTAGCTCAGCGGTTGAGCATCACCAATTGACCAGGGTTCAATTCCTGGTCAGGCCACATGCCTGGGTTATATGTTCAATCCCCAGGAGGGGGCATGTAGGAGGCAGCTGATACTCATCAATGTTTCTCTCTCCCTTCCTCTCTGAAATCAATAAAAATATAATTTTTTAAAAAAATTTGTACATTCCTGTATAAATTTTACCTTGTGGCTCCATACACCACCATCAGAATAGAGATCATGTTCCTTAGAACATTCAAGGCCTTCACACATGGCCTTAACCTAGCTCTCCAGCTTCATTTCTCACCACACCCAACCACATTCATTCCCCTAACACATCGGGCTCTTTGAACCTAAATGCAAGAGCATTTGTTCAAAGCTCAGGGAAATTGGTCCAAAAGTCAACTTACACATCTACCGAGGGCATTCTCTATAGTCTAGGAATACCCCAAAGCAGAAGAAAGTGACAACTGCCAAATCCAACTGGCTGCCACTGCTAAGGAAGGTGCTCTCTTAGAGCAAGACCGTCCTTTACAGTTTACAAAAGCACTTTGTCTCCTACTCTCTCATCAGCTCTGAAATACCTATAAGTATGTAGGCAAGAGTTATTATTCCCATTCTAGAGATGAGGAAATAGCTCCAGAGAGGCAGTGTGTGCTTAGAATCACACAGCCATGAAACAATGGTGTCTGACTTCAAGAGCTAATGCTCTTTCCTTACAACAAAATCAGGGAGGGGACAAGGCACAATTGGGAGCAGTAGAGCCAGCCCAGCTATCTCTTCAGATACAAACGACACAGCTTTTTCCTCCTCAGACCAGTCCCACTCAGGTGTCCCAGTCTGAGGGCACCATGGCTGCAGTGCAATGACTCAGTATCACACTGCCACCAGTTTGGCAAATGGCTGGACCAGTCTCCATGGTTGCTATCGCACCATTTTATGTCCAGGGCAGAAGGCAGGAAGTACAAGGCAATTAGCAGTGGAATGAGAACCTGGCTGGATCCCTGGAATGGTGGGTGAGCATCTTCCCTGTTCTACTCAGCCTCATGAAGACTCATGAAGACTCACCTGGGGTGCTGGAGCACCTGCAGCAAGGTGCTCTTAGGAGGCACCCGGTACAGTTCTGCCCTGTCCTCATCTTCAAAGTAGACCTGCAAGATTAACGGAGGAGTAGTGGGAGTGAGATACAAATAATGGCTGCAGCAACACCAGGCATGTTCAGGCCCAGTCTAGGGAACAGTTAAAGAGATGGTGACTGTTGCCGAAACCGGTTTGGCTCAGTGGTAGAGCGTCAGTCTGCGGACTGAAAGGTCCCAGGTTGATTCCGGTCAGGGGCATGTACGTTGGTTGCGGGCACATCCCCGGTAGGGGGTGTGCAAAAGGCAGCTGGCCAGTGTTTCTCTCTCATCGACGTTTCTAGCTCTTTATCTCTCTCCCTTCCTCTCTGTAGAAAATAAATAAAATATATTAAAAAAAAAAAAAAAAGAGATGGTGACTGTTATTAGCTGAATGCCTCCTGCACAGAACTGTGCAATATAAAGCGCTCAGTCCTGCATAATGATACGAAGAACAGTATTATTGGCTCCATTTTCCAAAAATAGAACCAGGCTCAGAGAAGGGAAATAACTCACCATTGAAACCCGGACAATAAACAGACCAGCCAAGACTTAAGCACAGGCCTACAAGCCTTCCCTACCCTAACAATTCAATGTATCAAAGTTAATTTCCTGATTTTGATGGTTGATTGGGATTATGAAGGAAAATGTCCTTGTTTGTGACAAACGGACACTGAAGTATTCAGGAGTAAAGGGGGATGACCTGGAATCTTTCTGAAATGGTTAGAAGTCAGACTCTTTATACTGTCGTTTGTGATTATTTTTTAATCCCAACAGTGGGATATTACTCAACTTTAAAAAGGAAATTCTGACACATGCTACAACATGGATGAACCTTGAAAATATGCTAAGTAAAATAAGCCAGTCCCGCCGAAACCGGTTTGGCTCAGTGGTAGAGCGTCGGTCTGCGGACTGAAAGGTCCCGGGTTCGATTCCGGTCAAGGGCATGTACCTTGGTTGCGGGCATATCCCCAGTAGGGGGTGTGCAAGAGGCAGCTGATCGATGACTCTTTCTCATTGATGTTTCTAACTCTATCCCTCTCCCTTCCTCTCTGTAAAAAATCAATAAAATATATATATATATTAAAAAAAAAATAAGCCAGTCCCAATGACAAGTATTGTAGGATTCCACTCGTATGAGGTACCTAAAGTAGTCAAATTTAAGAGAGACAAAGTAAAATGGTAGTTTCTAAGGGAATGGAAAATAAGCAGTTAATGTTTAATGGGTACAGTTTCAGTTTGGGATGATGAAAATAGAGATGGATAGTGGTGATGGTTGCATAATGTGAATGTACTTAATGCTACTGAACTATAATGATTAATATTTACATATATAATCTAATAACTAAAATTAAAAATGGCATTTTTTGGTAAATATATGGAATATAAAATGATAAAGTTTATGTTCTGTATATTTACAATTTTTTTAAAAAGCAATCAATTTAAAAAAGGGGACATATAGCCGAAACCGGTTTGACTCAGTGGATAGGGCATCGGCCTGGGGACTGAAGGGTCCCAGTTCGAAAACATGTTCCTTGGTTGTTGGTACATCAACAGTAGGGGGCGTGCAGGAGGCAGCTGATTGATTTTTCTCTTTCATCGATGTTTCTCTCTATCCCTCTCCCTTACTTTCTGTAAAAAATGAATAAAATATATATTTTTTAAAAGGACATATATAATACCTTCAACAATAAAGATTAAAAAGGAGAGAGAGCAATGAAACCCTCTTCCCCCTCAAAACATCCCATAGAGCAGCGGTCGCCACCTGGTGGTCCGTGAGTTCCGAAAGGTTGGTGACCGCTGCCATAGAGGAACAAAATAAAATTTCTCTTACCTCTAAATTATCAGGGCAGTATTTTTGCTCCAAGTCCCAAGAGGGTGTTTCACCAAACATCACAATTAGATGATCAATAAACCTAAGGATATAACATGCACTTTCTGGGTATCAGTAACTCATGATCCACTTTCCCACATAACAGTCCCCACACATCAAATCAAAGATATCAAGAATGTATAAAGCACGAAATGCAGGTGCAAGCCATTCTGATATCAGTGCCCAAAACGTGTATGTGTATCACTTGTCCTATTATGACATAGTAAATTTCTTTAATTTTCTTTACATTTAAGCCTGACTCAAGCTTAACAACATTCCTCACATTTAGCCACGTTCTAAGTATTAACCCTAGGAAATCACATGTTATAACTGCTAGTTATATTTTTTCTAATAAATATACACTTAAATTACTATGCATATACTACTTACAATGATTTCATATTACACCAGATACGTTCAAACACTGTACTGTGGTGTTATACTTATTAGCCCCGTCAGTACAGTGGTGAGACTGTGTCTGTCATTGCAAAGCTATCGATAGTTAGCAAAGGGAGAAATCAGCTATAGGATTCAGATTATGCCAAACCAGACTGAAACTCTCTATACTATTCTCTTCCCTTAACCAAAAAGCCTTTAATGTTATCTCCCTCCTGCAGACTACAGGACAAGAGCATGCAAGCAAGAGCACAGAGTTCCTAGCAAGTAAGTACCTGGAGTCCTCATGAAAAGCAGAGATGAAGTCTGACTGGGCATACTCCGGGTACAGAAAGAGCACAGGCCAGCTCAATCTGCCCTGGTCATCTATACTCAGCCTGGTGCCATAGGGGTTCTCCAAGCTGAGCCCATCCAGGAGTGCACTTAGACCTTCTGAGGCAGAATCTTCATCCTCACTGGCAGCTTCAGAGACTAGCTTGATGTTCCTAGCCTGGGGTAGAGACAGAAACCTTATTGTGTGGAAGGATGCAAACCCCTTTCACAAAAAGGGAAACCATAACACTGCAAGCTTCCTGACTCATTGTCATTATCCCTGAGGCCTAGCACATAGTTGGCATCACTTGTTTTAACTGCACTTTCTTGAACATCTCCCAAACACAGAGATGGGCTAGAGATGGTTTCTGCCCTCAAGACCAGCTCGGAGTCTAGTGGGGAGCTAGCTCTGGAAATAAGTAAAATAGAATAAAAGGTAAAGCTTTGGAACTGCAGACCATGAATAATTAGTTCAGTCTGGGCCTGGAGGTGATTGGGAGAAACTAGGCCTTAAACAAAGCCTGAAAGGCAGAGAAGTAGAAATGGGGGAAGGTAGAAGGGCATTCCACCCCAAGGAACATGTGCACAGAAAAGATCAAGAGCAGAAGAGTGTGGCATGTGCTTCAGTTTAGCCAGGGCATGGAATACTAAAAATGATGACAGTCAATAATCTTGACTGTCTTATGGAAATAAGGATAAATCTAAGGTCTGAATAGTGGGGTCACCTCTTATGTGTGTGTGTGGAGATTCCTAAAACTACAAAGGAGGGGGAAATTACATGCAATTCAAATTGCCTTTGATGTTATCTCCTAAATCAGAGATTGGCAAACTTTCCCTTAAAGAGTCAGATAAGAAATATTTTAGGCTTTGTGGGTCAAATGGTCTCTGTTGAAGTTAACTACTCAATTCTGGCATTGTAGTATGAAAACAGCCACAGGTAACATAAACAGACAGGGCTGCAGTTTGCGGACCTTTACTTTAAGCTATTGCTAAAATACAGTATGTATGGCTTTGTGTATAAACTGTCTTTCGTACAGTGAAGTTTCTGAGATGCAGAGTTAGACTAAAGGAGAGAACCAAAATAAGCTCTGTGTACAAATATCTGGGCATTCCAATATCCTACTTTTAAAAAAAAATTATCCAATCCCTCATTGTGGTCCTTGCTGGTTTGGCTCAGTGGATAGAACCTGAGGACTGAAGGGTCCTGGGTTCAATTCCGGTCAAAGGCACATGCCTAGGCTGTGGGCTTGATCCCCAGGGGACATGTAGGAGACAGCCAATCAATGATTCTCATCATTGATGTTTCTATCTCTCCCTCTCCCTTCTTCTCTGAAATCAATAAAGATATGTATTTTTTAAAAATCCCTCATTATGAAAGATTAGATCGCAAATCAGGAGAATTCCATTTTGTTTATCCTGTTAATATATGTTAGCAGATTGCTTATTGTGAGGAGGGACTAGTGGAGTGCATCTTAATAGTGTGAAGTTCTCAAAGTCAAGAAGTCATTTAAATGGGTGCACAATTCAAATCACCAAAGAATGAAAATAAGAGCTTACCCCACACTTTTCAAAGCAGGGTTATGTCCATTGTGAAGACCAAGACCAAGCAAGCCAAGCCTCACCAGGTGACTTGCTCACCAGATAAAAAGCAGGGTTTGGATCAGACTACATTCATTTAAACACAGTGAAGCCCACCAGTTTGGCTCAGGAGTTGAGCATCAACCTATAAACCAGGAGGTCACGGTTTGATTCCCAGTCAGGGCACAGGCCCGGCTTGCGGGCTCAATCCCCAGTGTGGGATGTGCAAGAGGTAGCTGATCAATGATTCTCTGTCATCACTGATATTTCTCTCTCCCCCTTGCTCTCTGAAACCAATAAATATATATATATATTTTTAAAAGAACTAGATGATTATGTCCTCAGAAACTCAGGTTCTTTTAAGATAGATAGATGGATAGCTAGATAGATAGATAAGAAGAAAAAGAAAGAAAGAAAAGAAAAGAAAAGAAAAGAAAAGAAAAGAAAAGAAAAGAAAAGAAAAGAAAAGAGGGGCAAGCCAAGGCTCAGCAGGTGACTTGCTCACCAGGTAAAAGCAGGATTTGGATCAGACTACATTCATTTAAAACACAGTGAAAAGCCAAAGCCAGTTTGGCTCAATGGATAAAGCATCGGCTTGTGGACTGAAAGGTCTCGGGTTCAATTCTGGTCAAGGGCATGTACCTTGGTTGCGGGCACATCCCCAGTGGGAGGTGTGCAGGAAGCAGCTGACCGATGTTTCTCTATGTCATCAGCTAGCAAAACAAGAGCAAGAAGTCCTACCTCAGAAGGCTACTGTGAAGATTAAATGATGCTTAACCCATAGCAACTATTCAGTATAGGTTACCCGAGACCAACATATGCACACAAGTGGGAGAGCTGACTGAACACTTGGAGTCGGACTCCAGAGCCCCTTCATCATGAAACTATCAAAGCAGGAAGAAAATGAACAAATTCATTCAGGTAAAGCATCCCAAGGAAGGATCCCAAGAGACTTCAGGATTCTTGGGTTTAGCAAGACCATAAGGGCCTAAAGTTTGAGAACTTACCTTGATGGCCTGGAGTAAAGCCTCATTCTGATTCTGCTCCTTCTTCTCTTTCAGCTTTGCTTTCCTTATATCCCTCTGTTGAGTCCGCTGAAAATAAATTCAGATGCATCAGCTCTAAGGAACTTGCTCATAAAATTACCACCTCTGTTCTCTATCCAATACAGGCTCCTATGTCAAGGGATACCAGGGGTGCACATTAAGATGGATGTTCAATAAATATTTAAAAATCTACAGTTCCTGTACCCAAAGATTCAGTTCACGGGAGAGGGGGTACAGGGTGTATATGTGTGTGTGTGTGGTGGACAGACAAGTAAAAGATCTGTGATGTGTTACCCTGGCAACGTGAACCAAGTGCTATGAACCACAGAAGAGGGAGTAACTGACTCTGCCCTTTGGAGGAGGTGGTTTTAGATATATGAGGAAAGATTAAGCCAGACGAAGGAGAAAGACCATTCTCGGTAGAGACTGACATTAAATGGATACCACTATGGGCCTTTTAAAACTGCCACCTTTCTTCTCTTGGTTTAGTTCTTCCTTTTCCAATGTATTCTTATTTTACTTATTTATGTATTTATTTACTTTATTGATCATAATAGTGGTACTGTACACAGCATGTAGTGGTGATATAATCTCATGGCAGGATACTGTCCAACTGAAATAAAGATATTATAGTGTCTTATTAGGCATTTAAATTTGTTGTTTGTTGAACAATTACCAATCATCCCATATGTTAAGAAGCTTGCTTTATGCATGAGGGAGGAGCAAAAAGAATGGTGACAGCAAGCGGAGGGCTAGTTACATCTGGAAGACTTGGATACCACCTCCCAGTTAGAGGAGTATCTTGTCTTGCACTGGAATACATGAAAGACATATCAGTCTATAACTTATCTACTTTTGTCTCTAGTGATTTATACTTAGCCTCCTTTAATTTGGCCAGCCTATCAATTGCACCTAGGATAGAATCAATTCTCTCCAGTAGCTGATCTCTGATTTCCTTTATATCAGTTAATCTATCTCTGGTCTCTTCACATGACTCACTTCCAGGAGGCTCTTTTTCTTCCTTTTTACTCTTGTCATTTGTAGAGTCAGTACATGTTGACATTCCTTCCATCCTTGTTTCTGTTAATGTGGCAGCTAAAGATAGGCCTTGGGTCAACACCTGCTGTGGTTTGTCATCCAGGAACGCTAGTGGGTCTCTGTATGGAGGTCCGAAAGGTGGACCTGCCTGATGAGGGTTCGTACGTAACTCTTGGTCAAAACTTTTTGGTTCTTGATTTTTGTTTTTAAAGAAGAAAAAGTTTACAGTGTCCAAAAAGACACAACGGGGGGAATGCAAATTTGTTATTAATGTTAATTAAATGCCAAGTGGCTACTTTAGTCTGTCTGCCACCAACCTTTAGTCTGTCTGCTTTAATCCTCATTTCCAGAAGCTTCTTCTCTTTGGCATCTATCTGCAGCCCCTCGTCACACCAGTTCACAGCCTCAGCAAAGTTTTTCAGTTCCAGATGGCACAAGGCACCTGCAGAACCCAGAACTCTCAGGACCCATGGACAACATGCATGGAAAGAGGCCCCTTGAGGAAGAATCCCTACCTCCACCAGCCACCAGCCAGCTCCCTGAAGAGAAAAGATAAGCCCCTTGTACTGTATTCCCAAGACTAGAAGACCATTTTTGTATCTTAGATCAAAAGGTCTCTAGGGCCCTCAACTCAAAACGCCTGTGAGACTCCCTAGTCTTAAGGACTCAAAATAGGGAAGGCTGCAGCTTAGTGGCAAAAAAGCACAGGCTTTGGAATCAGATCTGGCTGGAAATCTGGCTCAGTCATTTACCAACTAGGCATTACACAAAGGACTGAGCACCCCTGAGCTTCAAGTTCAAATGAGAATAAAGTCCATCTCAGGTCATTTTTCTAAATGGAGTCAGAAAGCAGAATCTACCTCAGCCATTAGTCAAAGCAGTGGAGACCAAAGACATTTGTCTCTCCTAAAATTGTTCTTGATGGCTACCAGTTTAAGTTGCTTCTCCTTTATTTTTAATTTTTTAAAATATATTTTATTGATTTTTTACAGAGAGGAAGAGGGACAGAGAGTCAGAAACATCTATGAGAGAGAAACATCGATCAGCTGCCTCCTGCACACCCCCTACTGGGGATGTGCCCGCAACCCATGTACATGTCCTTGACCAGAATCGAACCGGGACCCTTCAGTCCGCAGGCCGATGCTCTATCCACTGAGCCAAACCGATTCCGGCAAGTTGCTTCTCCTTTAATCATGCTCAGTTTTCTCGTTAGCCAGTTAGGCTTTCCACAGAACTTCTAAATATGAGAACAGTAAGTGCTGAGATGTCGACAGGATCCAACTTCATCTTCCAAAAATAAACTGATACTCAGAATGGGTGGCTTGCCAAGGTCACATAGTAAGGTAAAACTGACATTCAATCAAGGATTATAGACTTCCAACATGAGGACAGTTCCACAGGACTCCACTGAATTTACTTGCCAATCTTTGTTCAGTACCTTCTTTCCCTATGAGAAACATGGATCTATCTATCACCCCCAATCATAAATATCTAAAGAAATATAACTTCGATAAAGCATTTTAAGTTGATCCATGAGGATACAGGGAAAATTAATATTTGAGGAATCAAAAAGTTTGCAAAGCATCTTTGAGCTTCTTTTTAAAAAGGTTAAGTATAAAAAGTAATAAAAAGCACTATTATTACATAGAAAGGTCAGACTACAAGAAAAAAAAATAATCGGGAACTTTTCAGCCTCAGAGTTATCAGCAAAAGTTCCATAACTTATCTTTTAATTAACATTAACATGACATTTCAAGATTTCACTGTTCAATAAACTAATTTGGAAAAAAATTAGAATGTGACTTTTGGAACTGCTTTAATTAATTTTATTCTTTATTAATATGAAATGAGGAATTTCAATTTCTCTACAAATTCTTAAAACACAAAGGTTTGGATTATTTTCTGGAGAATTTTTTTTTTTTTAAATGGCATGTTGCTATTGATAAAGACTAGGAACTTAACATCAAGATTCCAAAAATAAGGTAATTTCATTAGTATTTTAGCACCTTCATACCAAACCTTAAAATGTCTCAACTTCTGGTACCATAGTGCTAACTTTTCCTTAATTACTATCATAGTTCTACAAGACTTACCTCTTACTATTGCTTTAAGGTGGCAGGGTTTTAGCTTTCTGGCAGCTGTCACATCATTGAGAGCAGAACGAAAATTGCCTGATAAAATAACATGGCTTAACATCAGACTATTTTCAAAATTTTATGTGTAGAGACAAAGACACTCTTGTACAACCTTGGATAATATAATCAAAGCAAATGTTTTTAGAAAAAATATATAATTGTGCTCATCAAAAGCCTTAGAAACGTTTAAAACATCAGGCAACCAATCCACCAACTATAGACGGCTAGCATGAAAAGATGCTCAACATCAGGAATTAGAGAAATTCAGATTAACATGAAATTGGTAAAAATAAAGTTACAGAATATCCAGATATGAAAAAAAAGGCACTCTAATAATAAATTACAGAGCAAGTTAGCATGCGTTTTGTAGATACATTGTGACCTAATAATATTCTTCTAAGAATTTATCCTACCTTACATAGTTGCTATGAGGCCAACAGGGGTAACAAATTTTAGAGAAATTAAATGTGAAATGTGCTTTGTAAGCCATACCAGTGACGTATTTAAGGAATGGCTGTCAGATTTATCCATTTGCTCCTCTGGTGTCTTCACACGCACATTTTATTTTTTCTTGCAAGGTGCTTTTGTTCTTATTAGCCCTATAAATTGCATCGTTTAAGCTCCCCAAAGAAAAGAACTACGTAGCTCTTCTTCACAGTGCAGTGCCTAACACACACAGTCAGGTCTCATCTCTCTGAAGCCAGTGCCTGGCAGAGTATTAAACACTGATGCAGGAAGGGTATTCCTCCAGAATTAGAAGGCTGGGTTTCTGGCCAGGTTCTGGCACTAAAGAAAGGGCCCCTCTCTGGGCCTGTGCAGATTGAGGGCATCAGCTGGCCCAACCAATCTTTAAAGTTCTACACCACTTTTTTTTATTTTTGTTGATGTCAGAGAGGAAGGGAGAGGGAAAGAGAGAAACATTAATGATGAGAGAGAACCATTGATCGGCTGCCTCCTGCACACCCCACACCGGGGATCGAGTCCGCAATCCAGGCATGTGCCCTGACCAGGAATGGAACCATGACCTCCCGGTTCACAGGGCAACACTCGACTACTTAGCCATGCTGGCCGGGCACTACTCTTACTATGGAAGAGGCTAAATGAGAAAACAGTTTGAGTACATGATGGTTGGGGAGAAACTGCTCAAACGGTGATAGAGTCCCAACAGATTCATCCCAGCTAGATTACAAGGCTTATTCTTTCCCATCCCCTCAGAAGTGCTAGATTACATTCCTAGGTCCTCTTATTTACATGGGTTTAAAATGACCAAGACTAGCCACCAGCAAATAATCAGTATTTCCCAAAGTCACACCTGCAGAACAGTACTGCATATTAGTAAGTGTTACTTGAAGATGGGCTTTACAAAACTTGAGAATCATAAGGTAAAGTTCTTTGCTGTAAGTTGCCTCAGAGCCTTAACATACTAATATACACTGCAAATCCCCCTCAGAGAAGCAGCACTTTCCAAACTTTTCCAAAGAATTTTTTCCCCCAAGAGTCCCACAGAATACTCTGAGAAATTCTCCCTTAGATAACATAGTTTCATACAAATATCTCAATCCTTCTAGCATCCTTGGGAAGGCCAGAGCAGAGAGGAGGAAGAGGAGACATTTTTTGAGGGAATAGAAGCACGTGTGCTAAAAAAATCCCAGATCATATCAACTCATATTAAGATATCTGATGCCACTCATTTGCTTCAGATAGCAAAAAGTATGCATTCTACCTGGTTTCTCTTATCACCAAGTCTACCTGGAAGATCAGGGCCCATGCAGCGGACCACTGGTGGTCCGTGAGGTCGGAAAGGTTGGCGACTGCTGCATTAGAGTGAAGAACCCGAGGTATCTGGGATAAGTAGCCCTTTTCCCTGACACTCTCAAACTCTCCGCTAGCCATCATGATAGCTTTATCATAAGTTAACTCTTTTGAAAGCACTCAACAATGAAATAAATTACCCAGATAGTACTGTGCTGCTGCCCGGTTGGTGTAAAGAACAACATTCAAATCAGGGTCTGCACATTTTTTCTTTAAGCCTTCAGTATACGCAATCACAGCTTTTTCATAGTCTTTTTCTTTAAAGTATTCATTGCCCTCATCTTTATAGGTCTTGGCTTGTTCTGCAAAGAAAATAAGAAATAATATTTATTTCTTAAAAGGCTCATGTTAAAAAATATTCTAAATCGCGCAACAATGAAACATAATAGAAACATAATAAACCAAATAGAAGAAACTAAAAAGGAAAGAAAACTCAAAAATTAAATCCTATAAAACTGGGTTATTAATAACATGGAAAAATAGTCGTGTGTGTCATGCTACAAATCAATTCCAAATATTTTACAAGGGAGATTATTAAGTGCTTACCCAAAAAGAAGCATATAAAAAAAAAAGGTGTACTTACCCTACCTCTTAAAGAACTTTCTTTTTAGTTACTTTAGAAATGGGGGGAAATTATACTCTTTCTCCTCCCCCCCCATTTTGCTTTATGTTCTTTTACCACCTAGAATACAAATTCCCTCCTCACCCTCTTAAGAGTCTACACAATTGTTAAGATTCAGTTCCAATTTCTGGTCCGCTGTGAGCCCACTCCTACCTCTGCCCTCAGTGTTCCAGCAGCCCCCAGGATGTAGCTTCATGTTAGCACTTACCACACACGTTTTGTCCTAATTCTTTAGGTCCTAAAGTTTAGGACAATCTGGCTACCACTGGGTCATGACCTTTGAGGGCAGTCGTCTTCATCCCTCTATCCCTAAGGCCTAGCATTTGGTAGGTATCTAAAAGAAACTGTAGGTGGAATAAGTAGTGACAAGTTATCTCAGGCTTAACTACTACTTGTTATAAATCAGAACGACTCACCCTTGACCTCCCTTCTATGGAGACACAAAACAAACGTAAGAGTCATGGAATATACCTTCTGGAGGTCGCTCGTCATCAAAAATAATTGACTGGAGGCAAGCCAGGTCAGGATTCTCCTGGGGATCAATTTCTGACGGTGCTTTCTTCATAAACAGAGGGATCTTTTCAAATTCCTGGAGATGGTTAAGAGAAGAATGAACTATACACACGGGATTTGCCAATTGGGCAGATCCAACTCTAAGTCTCTACATCCAAATGTTCTTACTTATCATGATTTGCAAAGCATCACGATTGGCCGTACGGCTCCCTATCCAGGCCTCGGTTTCCAACTGCAAAACGCGTGTAGAATCAAGATCTCTAAAGCCTCTTCAGTTACCACATTCTTACCAGCGCGGTAGTGACCCTCCCTCACCCACGGAGCGCTCGGTGTCCCGGCGCTTCGCCGCCCTCACTCCATCTTCGCTCCCAGCCGGAGGCTGGTGCTCCAGTCCCGGCATCTGATAACCCGGGGGGCGGCTCCCACAACTTAAATAACCGACCCAGGACCAGAGCCACAGGTAGGTCTGCCCGACTCCGAGGCCTGGACTCCCAGATGTCCTGGCAGACTAAGAAGGCCCTCGAGCCCTGGAGGCTGACTTCTAACACCGGGTAGAAACCACCGTCCGCCGGCAGCGCCAGGGGCCGGGGCTGGGGGAGGCGGGAGCCCGCGCGACGCGCCCACACGTGCGCGGAGCCCGCGGCCCGCCTACCTCTTCCCAGCGGTCCTCGAGGAAGCGGCCACGGTAAGGCTGGCTCTGGAACTTCTCCAGGAACGAGTCCATGGCGTCCTCGGAGGCGGCATCCGCCTCGGGCTGCTCCATGGCACCTCCGGGATCCCTCCGCCACGGCCCCGCGGTCCCCGCGCGGCTTCCGGCGGGGAGGGCGCCCTCCCCTAAGTCCTCCGGGCGGACGGCGCCGGCCCGCGCGCCTGGGTTCCGCGGCGCCGGGGGCGTGGCCTGCCCGGCCCAGCCACACCCCCCGGGCACGCACCTGCGCGCCCCGCCCACCCCTCCGGGTGCCGCAGCCCCGCCCCGAAGGCTTTGGAAGGTGGAGAGACCCAGCTGCTTCTTTCGCTCATTTGTGTAGCCGCCTGACACATTTCCTGAGCTGCTGAGCTCCAGGCCTGTTGCAGTGGCTGGGGAAACAAAACAGATAAAATCCCGGCCCGTAGGAGGTGATAAGGTGGTGGGGAGGACAGACAATAAAATAAAGTGGGAGAGCTTATCAGGTGGTAGCAAAATCTATGGGCGAACAGTTTTAAACCTGTGGACAGTCATAGAAGCCTGGAGTGAAAGGGATGGGGGGAGGAGGAAGAGGACCATTCCCCACGGAGGCAGGGCGGAGCCCCAGCGAGAGGAGCTTTGGGGGCGGGATGCTGGAGCAGAATGAAAAAGGTGAGGTGAGAGGATAATGGGCCCTGATTCTGAGGATCAGGTTTTCCTCAATGCAATGGGGCCTTTTGGAGGGTTTGGAAAAAGAAGTGATGTGATCGGATGTGTCAATTTCCGATATTAACCACTTCCTACCCTCACCGCTGAGATGGAAAGCAGGTCTCCAGGCCAAGTGAGCCTTCTTGCAGCCACTGGGTTACCAGCAAATGGCTTCCAGCCCTGCATTGGGCCTTGGGGAGCCCACAGCTTGGTCCGGAAGGAAAGGCAGCCCAGCCGCAGCCGCATCCCAGGGCAAGGGGAGCTGCTTACAAGCCTGCACATGGAAGCACAGAGGAGTGGGTGTTACCTGGGGATGAGACAGGATAGTAAGAAGCTAGGGAAATTCCTTGACAAGGGGAGTGAGGAAACAGGAAGCTGAACAAATTGGCCAAAGGTCATCTCCATAGAGGTAACAGCTAGGCTTCCATTGTATTCCAACCAGTCCCAGAAAAGTGGCAAAATTTGCCGAAATCGATTTGGCTCAATGGATAGAGCATCGGCTAGGGGACTGAAGGGTCCCGGGTTTGATTCCCATCAAGGGCATGTACCTTGGTTGCGGGCATATCCCCAGTAGGAGGTGTGCAAGAGGCAGCTGATTGATGACTCTCATTCATGTTTCTAATCTCTATCTCTCTCCCTTCCTCTCTGTACAAAATCAATAAAATATATTTTTTAAAAAGATTTTTTTTTAAAAAGTGGCAAAACCAGGTGGGTGACCCAGGACCAGCTACTATGACTAATGACCAATCAGTGGAAACCACAACCCCAAAGGGTTCGCCTAGAAAAGCTGATAAATATTCTATTGAAATCTTCCCCTAAATTCCCAGCCTTCAAAAATCCTCAAAACAGAGGACCGAGCACAGGCTCTCCCTCCCGGGAGCTCACCTGCATCTTCCTCTTCCTCCTCTTCTTCCTTCACAGACACACATCTCCCAGACTCTAAGGGACCATGAGACTTGCAACCAGAGGAGCAATGGGCAGCAGCAGCTTGTCCCGGGCTACCCCCAACCTGTCTCTAAGGCCATCTTTTCTCTGACTTCCCAGTGAGACAAAGCAGCCCACCTACGTTCATTTCTTTCCTATAATGTTTCTAGGGAGCCTAGGCTCTCTCTCCTGTTGCTTCTTCTACCCTAGGCCCTCCCTTGTTTCACCAGCCCCAGCTTTAATAAACATACTGTACTCTCAAAGTCACTTGGGCTTGTATTATGAAATCTTTCCTGCATGAAGTCAAGAACCCACAAACTACAGACCAGCCAGAGGCAGACCCACTGAGGACCAGGTCTCCTTTCTGGTACCAGGGAGATTCGGGGAGGTTTCACAGAGGAGGCGATGCAGGGACGAGGAAGGTTTCTGCAGATGGATGGAGAGTGGAGGGAAAGTTGGCCATTTCAGGCCGTGGGAGTCCGGATGCAGAGAGGCATGGAGGTATTTAGCAGCCAGCATACCGGATACGGGGAGAGTAAGGCCAGCAGGTGGGAGAGGGCCGGAGGGCCTGATTGCACATTGGCCTTCATTCTGCAGAGGATAATGAACCACAGGAAAAAACTAAGGGCAAATTTGTCTCGGGAAGGCCTGGGTTGCCAGGTGACAGATGGACAGGGGAGGCTGGGATAAGAGCTTGAGAAGGAGACTTTTAGTGAGAACCCAGGGGAGAGAAGAGATCTAAAAACCAGTCGGGGAGGATGCAAGAAACAGCAGGGCTAAGGATGACACATGGAGGGCCATGAGCCTTCCAGGGTCAGGACTGTGTCTTTCCCTTCTAACCTGCCCACATACAGAACACCTGGTCCCTTTCCTCCAAACCCAGATCTTTCCCACACTTCCTCCCGCAGCCTGCTCCCTAACCATGGTTCCCAAACTTGATCTTCTCATTATCTTTTCCCTTCTTGAGTACAGAGCCTACAAAGTCCTTTGACTTCCACTTTTAAATTTGATCCCTATAAAACCAAGGTGCTGATAGAGGGACTCAGAGAAGGGAAGTGACTTTCCCAGTGCTCTTTGACCCTTCCAACTCAAGACCACTTGGGGGCTTTGGCCAGCAACTGAGCCTATTAGCTTCTGTTGAGCCTCGGGGCCACCTAGACCTGGAATATGGTCGCTGCCATTTGTCAAAGCCACACCCAAGCCTGGGTTCTAGCCAGTGAAAGCAACAGTGTCTCTGGGAGGAAAGGGCTGAGGCATGGGTAGGAGACCTCTGGGACTCATGCTTTGATTCCCTTTTGTGACCTTGGACAAGGCCCACCATCTGAGCCCCGTCCTCCTATGTTGACTATAGGCAATGAAGCCCGTCTACCTTCCCCATAACTATGTATGGCTGCTATGAAACTCCAAGGAGGCCATGCTTGTGAACATTCTTGGCAATGGAAAAGAACCATTCCATTTCCCACTCTCCCTTTAGCCCAGTATCCTGATGGCCTTGGCCTACCATTAGAGAGTGATCGTGGGGTCAACTTCCTGGGTTCCTTATCCACAACAGGAGCTTAAATATAGGTGCTCCTCGGGCTTATGTCTCTTCCCACTCTGCACTCACCCCGGGGATCTCACCTCACCCCTGTACACAGATGAGTCTCAGGTCTGTTTCCAGCTCAGATCCTCTGTTGGGCTCCACCCCTGTGCAGCCAGCCACCTGGTGGGCATCTCCGCTAACATGGCACACAAGCCCATCAAGCTCACCAGGTCCAGCCTGAACTCACCCCTCCCCAAACCTGCTCCTGCTATGAAGGACCACTCAGTTCGGGGACACCTCTAACCCAGTCATCCACCCAGAAACCTGAGCACCTTGCTGCTCCTCCCCTTCCTTCACCAACCACCAGCTTCTGAAAATTCTCTATCCTTAACCTCACACACGTCTGCTCACCCTCTTCATCCCACACTGCAGCCCGGCACCCCTGCCCTTCTTCTCTGAAGCCTCTGGCCCGGTCTCCCCACCTGTGCTCTTGTCCACACAACTTCTCCCCCCACCCTCTCTGCCTGTCCTTTCGTTCCACTTAGAGTGAGCTTTCTGCCACTCTTTCTTTTTCCATTATTCCCTTTTATGCCCCAGAACCCTCCTCAGCCCCTCCCATCACTCTAATGTGTTATCATGTGTATTTTCTGCTTATATGTGTTCTTGCAAAGTGCTACTCGTGTGCATACATTTTCACATGCTTTTTCCACTCAGCACTGGGTTTTAGGTTCTGCCCGTGGTGCTATGTGTACCCCCACCACCTCTGCTTTATGGAACTCGACTCCATGGTGCCCATTCACTCCTTGGGGATGGAGGCCCAGGTCCTCCTCTCGCAGGCACCACAGAGAGGGCCGTGATGGACTCCCTCATCCATGGCTCCTTATGGACCTGTGGGAGGAGTTCCCTGAGATGGTTCACCCCCGGCTGTGCTGAGGGCGGCACATTCATGGGTATATATAAACAACGTGAGTGCAGACAGATTCCCATTCCAAATGGCTGCATTCTTCTCCCTCCCATCAGCAGTGCCTGGGGCTTCCTGTATCTCCATGAGGAGGGAGCTTTCCAAGCAGAAATCTCCAAGTCTCCCCTGCTTGCCTCTCCACCTCCCCATCACGCCTTCCCACTGCTCTCCTGGTGAGGTCTTTCTCCTTGGCACAGCCTTCAAGGCCAACCCTTGCCCTCTTCTTCCCTCCCACTGGGTTTTGCTGCACCAATGTATCTGCCCTTGGCCTTGGCCCTATGTGCCCTGTTCTCTAGACGCATCTACCAAACGGGCATCTTTCCAAACCCCCCGGGGGGGGCATTGTCTCTGGGAAGCCCTCTCTGACACCCAACCCCACACTGGTCTATATATCTCCTCTGGACCTCAGAGCTCCACGCTTCCCTTCATCACAGTACTGACCTGCTGGGCTATTGGTGGCTGTATGTCTCTCATACTTCCAGACCAAAGTTTCTCAACCCCAGCACTTTGGACAATTTGGGATGAATAAAAATTCTTCCCCGTGGGGCTTTCCTGTGCATTGGAGGATGTTTAGTAGCATCCCTAGCCTCTACAACACCAATAGCACCTCCTTCTCCAAATTGTAGAAACCAAAAATGTCTCAAGATACTGCCAAATATTCCCCAGGGCTCAAAAAATCACCCTGCTGCGGAAAACCACGGCATCAGACCATGAACTGCCCCGGGCTGGGCTGGGTCTCATTCCTGTCTGTATCTTAGGTACCCAGAGCAGGCACGGCTGCTCAATCCATGGTACCCAAACGAATGGTGTCCAGTCTCTGAGTAAAGACCCGAGGATGGGTCTCAGAGGCTAGGGTTCTGGGGTGTGCATGATGTCACGAGGTGGGAGGAGTCTCTTCTTTTGCTCCCTCAAAAAAATACCCATCATCATCTCCCTTTGTACTTACGCTCTCCCGGTGGGGGAGGGGAGACGGAAACACCCAGC